AAAAAAAAAAAAAAAACGCTTATTTTTTGTAAGTAAGTTAGATTTTCAAAGAAAATTAGGATATTCTCAATTGCATAAGTATTCAACCCCTTTGCTAAGGCAACCCTAAATCAGTTCAGGTACAAAAGATGAGCTTGCAAGGTCACTAAATTAATGTAGTGGTCTCTGTGTGTGTGTAATCAAATTGGTTTAACTTGGCTTCAGAGTAAATGCATCTGTTCAAGCCACAACTCACATAGTGATACGACAAACCAACCATGAAAACCAAAGAGCTTTTCAAACAAGTCAGGGATAAAATGTTAGAGAAGCACAGATCAGGAGAAGGTTATAAGAAAATTTCAAAGTCGCTCTTTATCGCATTGAGTATGGTGAAGTCCATCATTAAGAAGTGGAATGTGCTTCATACCACACAGGCACTTCCCAGATCAGGCCACCCTTCCAAACTAAGCAATCTGGCAAGCAGAAAACTAGTTAGGGATGTCACTGTGAAGCCAACAGTCACTTTATAAGATCTGCAAAGTTTTATGCCTGAGTTTTGTGGTCAGACGAGACAAAATTGGACTTTTTGGTCAAAATTCAAAGCATTGTGTCTGGTGAAAGCCCAACACAGCACACCTGCCAGTCAACACTATCCTAACTGTCAAGCATGATGATGGCAGCATCATTTTATGGGGATGCTTCTCATCAGCAAGGACTGGGATGCTTGTGAGGATTGAGGGGAAACGGATGGTGCAATCTATAGGCGAATCCTAGAGAAAAATCTGCTTAAATCATCCAAGAATCTAAAACTGGGTCGAAGAAAATTCACATTTCAGCAAGACAGTGACCCAAAGCACAAGGCCAAAGCCACGGTGGAGTGGTTTCAAAAGATGAAAGTAAATGTCCCGGAGTGGCCCAGTCAAAATCCTGACTTGAATCCAGTAGAAACGTTATGGTGGGACTTGCAGTCCATCAACGATCCCCAACAAACCTATCAGGATTGGAGCAAGTTTGCCAGGAAGAATGGGCAAAAAATACTGGTAGAGACCTATCCAAAAAGACAGCAGTAATTGCTGCCAAATGTGCTTCCACCAAGTACTGACTTAGTGGGCTGAATACATATGTAATCAACAGATTTCAGTTTATATATTTTCTTTGCAGATTTTTGCTGACATTCAACCACCTTCACACATAACAGTGTTAAGTTTGATCATTAGAGTTCTGAATAAAAATTAGTTCATGAAAATATTTTGTTTACATTATTGGTATTTCATCAAAATTTCACATTATTGGTAGAAGTTGAATACTTTTGCAAGAAACTGTAGCTCGGAACCTTCAGTGAACCTACTAAATAATCTTGATAATTTAATATACCAGTTCAACTAGGAATAGGGATGTCACAAAAACAATCATCATTGTAGGTCAATATAAAGATACAGAACGTATACTTTTATTATTATTGTAAATAAGTTAACTGTGAATTAAGTTTCGTCAGAAGTTGTATATTTTGAAAGATAATGACCTCATTTCTAATATAATTTATACTTCAAACACAGAATTCTTGGAATTGTTTTCAAAGTGATTCACCACGTTTCAGAAAGAAATCTATAATCACCGTGACAAAATCTTTGAGTGTCTCCGGATAATCAATCATGGTATCCTTCCCTTTTCTGACAATCGACAACCATTTCTGTATCAACTTTCCTAATTCAAGTCTCACATCCATTTTCTAACGTCAAGTGAATCTCTTCCTGTCTCTTCTTCGATTTTACACATCAAGATCTCTGCCAACCTTCCCTCAGATCTAATTATACGTTCCAATATCTCCTCATTCGTGTTTCCTTCTACGTAGCTGACCTTCACCATTAGAGACGATGATACAAATGTCAAATCAGCAACCTTGAATACATGAGTGACGTAGAAGTGACGTATTCACAAATTCTGGTCCGTCCACCCCCCACCCCCCAAACCACGGATGGACCAACGGTAAGTTTAGGGGCGTCTGTTAAATCTTGGTGGTTAGGGCGCTCGATTCACAATATGCAGTTTGCAGTTTCGAATTCCGTCACCAAACGTGCTCGCCCTTTCAACCATGGGGTGTTATAATGTGAAAATCAATCCCACGTTTTTTTGGAAAAGAGTAGCCAAAGAGTTGACGGTGGATGGTGTTAATTAGCTGCCTTTCCTCTAGTCTATCACTTTTAAATTAGGGACGGCTAGCGCTCGAGTAGCTTCGCACAAAATTGAACAAATGAATTAATTTACGGACTTACAGCACTAAAATCCGGGGCTCGATCTCCCACGGTGGACAAAGTGAGTAGCTATATGGTAAAAATGGAAACAACAACAGAAATTCTGCTGAAACTTAATGGAGACTCATGTGTGATACCCCCCCCCCCCTCCAAGGTGGTTAATAAGTATTGAAAACAATAGTTATTGGTATGGTTGTAAGTAAATGTAAATCTGTGACGTGGGTACTTCATGTAAATCTGTGACGTGTGTACGTCATGTAAATATGTGACGTGTATACTTCATGTAAATCTGTGACGTGTGTACTTCATGTAAATCTGTGTACTTCATGTAAATCTGTGACGTGTGTACGTCATGTAAATCTGTGACGTGTGTATTTCATGTAAATCTGTGACGTGTGTACTTCATGTAAATCTGTAACGTGTGGACTTCATTTAAATCTGTGACGTGTGTACTTCATTTAAATCTGTGACGTGTGTACGTCATGTAAATCTGTGACGTGTGTATTTCATGTAAATCTGTGACGTGTGTATTTCATGTAAATCTGTGACGTGTGTACTTCATTTAAATCTGTGACGTGTGTATTTCATGTAAATCTATGACGTGTGTACTTCTGGTAAATCTGTGACGTGTGTACGTCACGTAAGTCTGTGACGTGTGTAGTTCGTGTAAATCTGTGACGCGTGTAGTTCATGAGTTCGGCTAATAAAGTTTTAATTGTTTGTTTGGAATTAAGCACAAAGCTACACAATGGGCTATCTGTGCTCTGCCCACCACGGGTATCGAAACCCGGTTTCTAGCATTGTAAGTCCGCAGACATACCGCTGTGCCACTGGGGGGCCAAATTTTAATAATTATAATTTTTAAAATATGTTTCTTTATATTTCAAAAATACTCGTGAAATTTATGGTTGTTGGTATATATATTATTGAAAGGAAACTAAATGTTGAAAGTTCAATCTTCACTATT